AAATTTTGTCCAGACTCACAAAGAATCTAAAATGCAAGGTATCAATTTACATCAGAAAGGATGCCATTATCCAAGTGAAATGAAGTTTTAAAATGCAGTTCCATGGCTCAGGCTACTCCATTATTATAGTCTGAAAACATCTTTTACAGAGAGACATCTTACAAAGATGGTCGTGTTCTTTCTTATTCTTACAAAAGACACAGTCCATACTCTTGAGCTCGGTTATAATAGAGACTGGAGAGCTGGGCCCCTTCCTGGGTTATGACCCTCTTTTTTCACACTTCTGGAGCCCAGTGTTTCGACAGAAGTTAATCACAAACACAGCACTCACTGTCAGCAACAGCACTAATCTCAATATCATTCAGCCATCAGTAGTCATTCTCTAAACCCTTACTGCATCAGTGGGTATTTCCTATCAAGGCAGGACTGTGGAACATTATGGCACAGCATCCTCCTCTGATGCACAACTCTCTACTGCATCTTCACAGCAGCGCACACAACGCATCATATTAGGTCACCAAGAGCCCAGGGATACTACTAATAAGCTGACATGCCTGTTCTGTCTAACCTTTACCCACTGAAATAGCCAGAGCAGCAGGGGAGTGGCTACCTCAGGAACAGAGGTGATAAGACAAATGCAGTACTGCAGATCCACACACCAGCCTGAAAGCCTCCACGTGGATGGTTTAAAGGCCCAGGCAGCAACATGCTCACAATTCAGATATTGCTTAACTACTTCAGTACATGGAAAGTTAGCAGAATATAAAAATATTAATTTTTATGAAGTTCTCCATAAGCTTTCAGCAATTACCAAATGAAATGCCTCTACAGCTTCTGCCTTAAAACAGAACCAAGGTTATTATCAATTTGCTCTTGATATAAGAAAGTGATTTTCATGTACTTATATCTGCTCTCAGAAGGAAGAGAAAATGGTTTGTGAAGTTCCCTTTAGCATACAAAAGCAGCAGCATCTGCTGAGCTTGAAGAGGCTTATTGCTGTCACTTAATAAGCACCACAGGCTACAGCTGGCCACCTCTGCCCTTGTCAGCACTCAAGGTATGGTTTCAAGAGATGAGGGGATAATTTGACCACACAACAGTTCCTGCAAGACTTCTGTATCTATAAAAACATGCTCTACTCTTACTTGCTGAGGCTAGGTAATCCACCTGTGTAATTCCTCCTTGCATAAACCTGTGAATAGTATCAGAGCTGAAGTCTTGAGTCCTTCCATACAATACGTGACTTCAGTGAAGCGGTATTTTAACAAGACAAAAACCTACCGGTGAGTTCATGTCCATGTGCTGTAGCCGTAGCACCATCTAGAGGGCTTGAGCTGGAAATTCCTCACGCAACCGGCAAAAAAACCCGGGAAACTGCTCTCCAAAGTTGTGAAAAGAATCTTTACACAAAAAATATTTTGAGCGAATTTTGATTCTAAAATTTATCTACAAAGTAACTTAAATTGTTTCATACATGCCTACATGACACACAGTATTTCTTAAATACTTCCCTGGTTTACAATATTTGGATTCATGAAGGTAACAGAAGATTAGAACAAATTAAACTTTTATCAACAGCCAGATCGGGAAAGATCATGATCACATCCATTCTAGGTTTCCCTAAAATTTAACTTTTTAAAGGAGGTCTTTTAAAAACAAATTTCAGTCAGGGAAAGGGAAAAGGTTTTTAACTAAATAATAGAGATTATGTATTTTGTTATATTTCACACATGGAAAGAGGTGCTGACAACAACTGAGTGCTCACTGCAGAACCATTAAGAGAGGAAGAAAAGGACAGGTACAGCCCTGGAGCCCTCCTGATTATTTTTTCCATCCACAGACACCTCAAACCTCACTTTGACCGCTTCCAGCTTGGCGCACTCCCCCTCATAACTCTGCTACTGCCACAAAATAGCACTTTTGCTCTTGAAGCCTTCTGCAGATACCAAAGTTAAATCCTTTTGTAACTTCTATGAAAGTCTGAGCAAGCTCCCCAGAGACCAAAAGACCAAGAATTAACTGAGAATATTCACAATGTGATTGCTCTGCAGAGTTTGTGGGCAGTAAATCCAAACTGAAGCTCCTGTTCATTGTTTGACATGTGGCTGACCAGCAGCATGATTTATAGCGACACATCTGCACTAAAAATCCAAACTTTCATACACCTCAACACAATTTGTATTTCTCTTTCTCTCAGTATTGTGTCCAAACAGTCACGTAATACCAAGTAACCAGTAACTTATTTTCGCTATTTGTAAAAGCTGTGTGCTAAGAACAGACTCTAAGCTTTCAGCTACTATGCCACTTTATCTGCTTTACCAAATTTCCTTGGGGACTATTTGGCTAGAAATGAAAGCACAGATGAAAAAACTGAAAGAAGCAAATGTACGGTCATTAACAGCATCACTATTGGTCATGCACAAGTTCATTCCACTTTATAGGCCAAAAAACCAGAAAACTTCTGGACATATCCTACAGCACGGGCAAGAGAGCTATTGTAATAGCTGGCAGACCTTTACAATTATTTGTAATCAAGATTACTAGCCATAAAAAACAAAGTTCTTCCTGAACTGAATTGATTCATGCTATTTCATAACAGCTGGCAGCAGATCAAGACTGTTTACAGCACTTCAGTGTAGCTCAGGTCCCTCTGTGTGTCACTTGGCATTCCCCACTCCCTCCCTACCTCTGCCTGGGTCTCCAGGTTCAAGCAGCAAGGAAGAAATAAAATTCTTATGTACTCACCAGCAAAATTCTCTTCCTAGTTTCCAAGTGGAGAATTACATCTTCTGTTGTAGCTTAAAAAAAAAAAAGATTAATTTTAAGTATTTTCCACCTTCTAGTTGATTTTTTTTCCTCATTTTTAACTATAAATGAACTCAAATACATTTAAATGTAGTTCAAACACCAGACTACAAGTGCAAGGACCTGAAGTTTAAACTTCTTACTTGCTACTTTTGCCAGCAAATATTTAAACTTCTTCACACATAAAATATTTGCAAGATTCCAGTCTTAGATTATGCAGTTTCTAGTTCTCAAGCAGTATCCCTCTGTTCCTAAAACTGCACTCACTACTGTATATCAAAAGAATAATTATGTCATCTAGAATCTGAATTCTCAGTTAAATTTCAAGTAACCAAGAAAATATTTTCATTTGTCGTTATGTGTCTAAGCCTGAGACAAAGCCTATCTGAGTGTCTATAAAAGTCTGCATGTTTCAGTCTTTCATGCTGAGCATAAATAATGCTTCCAAGAATAATCCCACATCATGCTAGCTATCATTTTGGCTCCAGTTCAGTATTTTTTGCAAAGCTGAGCTGATATTTTATTGGTTTTAAAAAGACTCGTAGGCATCTTGCATCCATGAAGTAAAACAGCAGCCTTGAAAATTAAAAAATAGCAACAGGGCAGCAGAGTAAGCAGGAAACCTCCTCCTTTTCATTTTTGTAAATCCCTAGAATTGCTAGTCCAGTTACTGGGGGTAGGATCACCACTATGCCTTACAGTATGTCATCCTACAGTGCACTGACTTTAATAGCAAGGATCACTCCTGTGACCAACACCAACAGTAGGACCAGATTTATACTGTATAATCTATAGGTTTCATTTAAGTGCATCTCCTGACTGCATTAAAACAAAATTGCCTAGCAGATGTTCCAGTCAGATTCAATAACCATGCACCAGTGCTTCCACTTGTTCAAAAAATGAAAGAAATATCTGTGAAGATACCTCATTTCCAAAAATTCAGAACACCATACTCCTTACCATAACAAAACCACACAGGTGTATCAATGCCGATTTCATTGCTGGCTAAACCGTTCACAGGTGAAACCAGTCACACAGCTGACGCAGTGACTCATGTAGGCCCCAGTATCTGCTACAAGCATAGTGTTCTCGATTGCCTTCCATAGCACCTCATAGGACATTGGGTTAACTTCTGAAATAGTAGCTTTTGAAATAAATATACTGGTATTTCTGTTAATTTCTCCTTTCCCTCAGAAAGGAGATTTTCAATTCAGTTATACACTTATCTGAATACACAGGAACTTCAACACTTCTGATTTATGCTGGCCCCTGTCAGCCTGAAACTTAATAAATGCCTAGAATAATATTGTTGCAGTAGATAGGGCATCCTACACACTGAAGTTATTTTCTCTCCAACATAGGGCCATAAACTGCATTAAATTATGTGCTGATATACTGCTGCAAGTTCCAAATACAATTGGGTCTTTAAAGAGTTGCAGATTAATATCTAGTTTGTTCACTGTTCTAAAGACCTCTCTGGCTAAAAAAACAGGGCAGGGGGAGTTGCTGGTTTCCCAAAACACCAAACTTCGTACACTTGCTAACTTTAGAACAGAGCAGCTGAAAGTCACTCGAATGACAAAAACCCCAGGAAGCTTCATAAAGAAGTCAGAAGGCTCAGGGAGACGAGCCCCCTCCCCTCAAAGAGGCACGCAAGAGACTTTTGAGTGCATCAGAACTATTTACTGTGTGCATGGAGGAAGAAGGCTCTTCAACCGTCTGGCACATTTTGTTTCCCTGCTGTTTTAGTAAAGGAAAATAGAAACATGTAGGTAACTCATTTACATTACAACATTGTGAAAGTGCCCTAGACCAGTTTAAAGAGTGTAGTAAGCTATGGCAGCACACAATGTTTCTTACAATTTATCTATCCATGCACAGCGACTATTGCACAGGTAGACTGCAAAGCTTCCACTGATGGAAAAGCAGCTCTGCACACCCACACAGTATGTAATGCTTATGGAAAAACAGAGAGCAGACAAGGTAACACTTCCACATAGAGAAAAGAAAAATACTTATTACTAACAACAACAGCTAAACCAGTGTCTTGGGGATTTGGTCAGTATCAGCCTCAGCTTTAAAACAAACAAAAAAAACCCTTTTACTACAACAACCAAGGCAACTTGAGTTTATTTCACCGCACCTACCAGCCAGAGTCCACCAACGGAGCTCAGCCAAAGGCAGCAAGCGCACTAATGGCCGCACGCCCCTCCCAAGCACTAATAAGCCCTCCCTGCCCTGACCAGCGCCACCTGGCGCCTCCCCTCACGCCCTCGGGCTCCATTCAAGCCCGAGCCTGGGTGCTCTCAGCCCTCTACAGGACGCCTCTCCTGGCTGTCCCTCGGGTGTGAGCTGGGGACCTGGGACCCACGCTGCGGGCCGCGGGTCACCGGGCTCAGCCCCGTCCCCTCAGGGGCCGCGCTCGGCCCTCGCCA